ATTCTGCAGCATAGACTCCAACCATACATGGAGAGAGAAATTCTAGAGATCCAAGTGGGGTTCAGGAAAGGAAGCAGCACGAGGGATCACATTGCAAACATACGATGGCTAATGGAGTGCACCAAGAAATTCCAAAAAAGAATCAGCATACATTTTATAGACTACAGCAAAGCATTTGATTGTATAGATCATGAACAATTATGGAATGCACTCAAAGATATGGGGGTGCCACTACATCTGATGAGGAATCTGTACCAAGGACAAGAGGCCACCATCAGAAGATAATTCGGGGAAACAGAGTGTTTCCCAATCGGCAAAGGGGTCAGGCAAGGCTGCAGCCTATCACCCTACTTGTTTAACTAATATGCTGAAAACATCATAAGAAAAGCAGAATTAGAATCAGAAAAAGGAGGAGTTAAGATAGGAAGCTTCTCTTTTCTTCAGCTGCTGAAGAAGGTAGAAGCTGAACCTTCTTGCCACAATAGCCAGATGTTTATGTTTTGTGTTTGTTGACAAAGCAAGGTGCTAGTCTTCAAGGATACAGACAACATTTGGAATGGAAAGTGAATAGGAGAACATAAAGGGTCTTTATGGGATTCTGGGAGGATGCAAAGAAAGAAATCCATCTCGTTCCCAGGCAGCAGTGACTGCTTCCTTCTCCAATTGTGTGCAAGCAAATCTGTACCCACCAAAAACTATTTCAACCCTGGCATAGTCTGTGTGATAATTTACCGCAACCAATTTGGCTAATTGATCTTGCGGTCCTTTGGGCTCCCTTTGCAACATTCGCCCGTATGCGTGCAAACAGACCCATGCTCTGTGTATCATAACCCTTTCATAAGCATTGGTTCAGGCTGCCTTCCATCGTTCCTTGTAGTAGATTTCATGGGATAATGCGTAAAATGAAATGCAATGATATTTAAAAGAGCAATTGCCTTTAGAAGCAGGAAAGATGTGTTCGATGAGAGCTGGGGGCTCGATAAGGTCTCCCCAAGGATCTGCATCACAGTAGATTTTGAAGTGTTCTGTGACAGTTATTGCTCCTCAGGAACCCAAATGCTGTTTGTATATTACTTAACACATTCACTCTGGTGGCATTAGTCTTGCAAAGGGGAGTCATGCAAGCTGGGTGTAATTGTATAACAACACTAGTAATGGTAGTGAGACGGCATAATGTAATGGTTTGAGTGTTGGACTCTGATTCTGGAGGCCACGGTTCGATTCCCAGTTCCGCTGTGAAACCCACTGGGTGACCTTGGACAAATCACACTCTCTCAGCCTCAGGGGACAGCAATGGCAAACCTCCTCTGAACTAGTCTTGCTAAGAAAACCCCATGGCAAGGGTCACCATAACTCAAAAATGACTTGAAGGCACACAACAAACAACAGTAATCGTAACTGGTTGTTAGTAATGAGTAGTTCAGTGAGTTACCTTTCTGAATCACTGTAACAGAGACAAATGACAATTGGCTGAGCAATCGCAGCAACACGTTAAAAAAGTAATAAGTTCCTTTTAATAATGTTGCAAGTTCATCTCATCTGGATAGATGCTTAGACCTGGGCTGTTTCTTAGGTGGAAGCGAAAAAAGAAAAGCAATAAGCAATAAGCATTAATCCACTTCAGCTATGAAATTATTTCCTTCCACCAAGTATGTGTTACTTATCAGACATTTTAAATTGCTTTTCCTTTGAAACAAATATCCAAGGTTAGGACCCATTGCTTTGATTGCAATTCCTCACCAAGAAAGCAAATGCACACGGACACAAACACATGCATACACTTCCTGCCTGGTGCTTAATCGGAAAGTTAGTGTGCAAAAAGATTAATTTTATTTAACCCTTCCCTTTTCCCTTCACCTTCTTGGAAATGTCCTCAGGCAGGCAGCATCCAAATAATTCCCCCTTCCCACATCTCTCTGACCCTTCTGTGTCTTCTTGGATGCAGGCATCCCATGCTCCCTGGTGCAAAGATGTTGCTTCCGCATTCAAAGAGGCCACAACAAGCTTCTTCCCACTCCAGATTCATCTCTGCTTGTTTCTCCAGAGAGCCCCAAAGGGTCATCGCTGGATACATATTTAACAATCAGTGCCGGAAAGCAGATTATCTCTTTGGGTCTTGTAAGTCAATTACCGTGTATTAAATAAATGTTATTGTGGTGGCCTCTCACATTAGCATGCGAGCGATGTTTCCTACTGCTGTCACCTATATCCAATTAATGTGGAATTGAGAACAGAGCAACATAGACGTCTGTGGGGAGGAGGGAATGCCATATCTGAGCTCTTATTATGGGCTCCTGGTTTCCGACAGCATCTCCTTCCTGAGCAAGGACGCATCACCTGTTACAAGCGGAAGTCTCCTATTCTACAGGAACAAAACAAGGAAGGAAATACTGGTTTCTGCTGAGTTACAACCTTTTCTCTCTTCCCTCACTCTGGGATTTTCCATATACTTTTTCTGTGGTGACTAAAATCCACTCATTTGAAATGGGGATCTGCAAGTAAGTATTAGGGATACTGTGGGCTACCAGAAAGACAAATAAATGGGCCAAATCTGAGCTCCCCTTAGAAGCCAAAGTGACTCAGGGAAGGCGATTGTATTTTGGACACATCATGAGACTAAAACCAGTGGGAATCTTTTTGAGGTTGTTGAGGGGCTTTTGGGTGATGCCACTGGTCTTCATGGGTCAAAAGGGGGCAGTTCCAGGTCAGCTTGTCAACCATGCACTTTGCCCATCTCTATGTAGGCATCCAAGCATGCCACTTGTCCATCTCTGGAGAGCTACCTGGGACTGGAGCCTCCAAGTAATTAACATTGGCAGCAACCAGGAAACAAAGAATGGCAGGTCTAATTTACTCCTGGACTCTTCTGATGCAGTCCAGCACTCAAATAAAGGGAGAAAATGCAGTCATGATCCATTGGCCTACCTACACCTTGTTGTCGAGCTGAGAGCAATTTGCTGGAGCCCTAACCTTGATCTCCTACCTCTCAGCTTTGCATGTGCCTGCTTTCCAGATATTCACTGTAAGAGCCCTCCTGAAAGGCTTGGCTGGGAAGAGGCACCTCATCTGCAACTTGGCAAGCATGCTGTTGAAAACCAGCATCTGGGAAAGTTATTTATTTTATTTATTTATGCTGGAATACAGCTCCCACAATGGCCTTGCTGGCTGGGGGATTCTTGGTGCTGTGGTCCAGCAGAATAACATTCCTGAACTCTGTTTTAAATAAAGGCACCCACCCATATCAAAAATGTTTGAAACTAGTTGTATCTATACTGTAGAAATAATGCCGTTTGACATTGCTTTAACTGCCATGGCTCCATCCTACAGAATCCTGGGATTTGTAGTTTTGTGAGGCACCAGCATTTTTTGGCAGACCAGGATAAAGACCTGGTAAAACTACAATTCCCAGGATTGTAAAGTAGTGTCACACTGCATTATTTCTACAATGTAAATGCAGCCTCTTTTGGCATCCATGTATCTCTTAGTAGCCCTGCTTCTCCCTATTCTCTTACTGTAAGCACCTGGGGCAGAGACTTCTCTTTTGCATAGGTAGCAGTTTTGTACAGTTTGCCCTTTAGAACAACTTACAGTCAAAGCACTCTGTGCTTGAAGGGAAACGGTTTCAGCGGGTCATTGATTTTAATGCTTGCATTTCATTTTAAATCCTATTGTTCAGTTTTTATTAGTTGTTAACCAGATTTTAATGGTGAATTACCGATGCTTTGTGAATTCTATAAAAGCTCCTTTGTCCAGTAGGTGTACATTGGTGGCTAACTGCTCTCATGCCAGTGGGGACGTAAATCCACTCCAGGTTTCAGTTTGGGCATTAAAAGGTGCTGATCCTGTTTTTAGGAGAAGTTCAGCACCCTGGCTAGCTCCTTGAAAACCTGTTGCAGGTGCACCAACCTTCTGAGACAGAAGCCATGAGCCACCACTAAAGGTGGTCTTTTAGTACTCCTAAATAAAAATATAAAAACATCCATCCATTCATACATAACCAGTGATGGTCCATTGATTATGATCATTATTGCCTTGGGCTGCTGCCACACTGCAGAATGAATGCAGGTTGACACCACTTTAACTGTTATGGTTCCATCCTAGGAAATCTTTGGTGTGCCACCAAAGCTCTCTGATAGAGAAGGCTAAATCTCTTGAACCATGGCAGTCAAAATGGTGTCAAACCGCATCAGTTCCACAGTGTAGATGCAGCCTTGGTCATCTGAGTGAATTCTGGTCACCATTCAATAAATCCGCTTGGTCTCCTTCTTAGTATCTCTTCCACCTGGCTGTAGAGAGTTGTAAGACAGGACAGTTTAGTTCATTGGCTCAGACAGGACAAACTACCTGTGGGTATTTCCTCTTTTGCCCAGGAAAATATCTTCTAGTCTTCCCCACCCCAAGAATTTCCTAAATTTATTGTCATCCTGGAGCATTCTGGGAGATATCCATGGCAAAGCACAGCTGGATGATCTCAGGTGCCATCACCAATGATTTCAACATAATCTCAGCTGCCATCATTAACACAAGGAGGCACTGAATCCTCCTTGCACAATGACCTTAAAACACATTTTTTTTGTTAATTTGTTAAATGGATTTTAACTATGTTATTGTTTAATAATGTTTTAAGGGGGGGGAGGGATATCCTGTTATTGTAATTTGTGTTTTATGTTGTAAACCGCCCAGATTGGGTTACCATTGGGTGGTATATAAATACTTTTTATTATTATTATTATTATTATTATTATTATGCATGCTCAGAAAGAAGGGGAATTTATGCCTCTCTGTGTCACCAGCAGAATTCCAGCCTATGTCTTGTACATTATTGTTAATCCCAACTAGAGGAGATCCATGGAATGGTCATTACCTACATGTTGACTTGACATTCAACAATTAGTTGAAGGGGTCTACTCTACTTTGGAATAACCCACAGGAATCAGACCATTATTTGCCTATGAGTAAAGTACCTCTTAACTTCTCTGAATCTCATTTCCATTGAACATTGCCAGGAATACTGGAGGGGAGGGGGATGGAAAGGAAATTTATGGTGGGAGGGTGGAGGGAGGAGAGACGAAGTTTATTTTTAAACCAATGGTTCCATCTTTTAAAAGATAGATTTCTGCCGATGTTTCTATTACGACCAATGGTTTATCATATGCCTATATATTTTTCATTCCAATGAGCTTTTGTAAATAAATCTGTACCAACTGATAACTGGTGGAAATTAAATTGACTAATGCCGTTAACAGGATTTTAACTGCAGGCTTAATAGTCACGGAAACGTCATTTTCAGGAGGTGGCAATGGAAAATGGGTTACAATATAAGCAAAGTTTTTGAGACAGAGGGGGAAGGAAGACACTATATGTGTGTGTATGGATAGAAAGAGCTTCACAGAGAGAGGAGGACACTGTAAATGTGTCTGTCTGCCTCTCTACCTCTTCCCCCTCCATTAATGGGAGACTGTGAAGAAAGGAAAGGAGGGAGGGAGGAAAATGAAGAAATTTGGGATATGAACTTCTTAGGAAATGTTTGATTCCTTGCTGCCTGATGCATATTTGGACTAGAATCCTATTAGTGATTTTCATGCATCCAATGCTGGGTTTTATATGTATGTCTTTTTGGAGCCAGTGTGGCATAGTGGTTTGAGTGTTTGACTATGACGCTTGAGACCAGGGTTCAATTCCACACTTGGCCATGAAACCCACTAGGTGACCTTGGGCAAGTTACACTCTCTCAGTCTCAAGGGAAAGCAACAGCAAACCTCCTCTGAAAAAATCATGCCAAGAAAACCCCATGATAGGTTCCCCTTAGGGTCGCCATCAGTTGGAAATGAAAGCACACAATAACAACAAACACTTTATGGATGGTGCATAGGAGGGCTATTCTCTAGCCCTTTGTGCCTTGTCCAGAATTCCTTTCTGCTCCGAGAATCTTTCAGGCCTTAGAGGACTGTTGTTGCTGTTTATTGGTTGGCAGGAGGCAACTCCGAGGGGGAAAAAAGCAGTCGGTCTGGGGTGTAAGGGGAAGAGAAACAAGGGTGGGAGCATACCTTCATTTCCCTTCTCCTCCCAGCCTAGACCAGCTGCTTGTTGCTGCTCTTAGTTGCCTTCCTCCCAATGGTAAACCACTGTTGGAGTGCCCTTCCCAGAACTTGCTTGAACAGAACTATGATGGGAAAGTGTTGGACTCCATCCATTTGATCCAGGATCTCAGCCTTGATGTTTGTTCCTGGAGACCAAAGAAGATGCTGCTTGTTTAATTCACAGCAAAGTTCTGGCATCTTTCGCTAATGGTACTGCTATGAAGCTATTTTGCTATTTTGCACCAGTTCGCTGCTGGGATTCCTTCAACCTTGGCCAATCTCTCTATCTTTCCTTCTCTCTCTCTCTCTCTGCCTTTTCGAGATGCATCTCAATCATATCATGGATCTGGTCAGATGTATGACAAGCAGTGTCAAGGCCAACTTCCCGTTCTCACTCCAGGCTCCAATTTATGCTCTTTCTTTCCTGTTTCTCTGCCTAAACCCTTGATTGGCATTTAAGGCTGCTTTCCAGGTTGAAAATTAGCATACCTGCCACTTTAAATCGCTTCACCTCATTTATTCAGGCTCTCTCCCCCTGTTCTAACACCTGCTGATACAGACATGTCCAAGTGATGTAATATTCTACCTGGACCATGCTGTTTTCAGCTGTGTGATCCCATGTTAACTTGATTCAATTACCAAGTAGGCTAACCATCTCACTTATTTCAGGAGTGGCTTGTGCCTTCCATGTCAGTGGGGTGTTGAATCCACTCCAGGTTTTAGATAGAAATTTAAAGGAGCTATCCTAGGAGCTTATCGCTCGCCAAATTAAGCCATCTTACCTCTTCCAGCTTCAATCCTGGGTCCAGGATACCCCAGGATGTTATCAGACATAAATCGCCACTGATTTAGCTGCAATGTTGCCGGCTGAATCCATCCGGGGGTGGGGAGCTTCCGACATCAAAAATTGGCCAGCTCAGTGAGGCTTCAATCCAGGATGGATTCGGCTAGTGGCATTGCAGCTAAATCAGCAGCGATTTATGTCTGATAATATCCGGGGGTATCCCTGATCCAGGATTGAAGCCGGAAGAGGTAAGCCGACTTAATTTGGCAAGCAATAAGCTCCCTAATGTGATGTAGTGGTTTGAGTGTCAGATAACAACTTGGCCATGGAAACCCACTAGGTGTCCTGGGGCAAGTCACACTTTCTCAGCTTCAGAGGATGGCAATGGCAAGCCCTCTCTGAACAAATCTTGCAAAGAGTACCCTATGATAAGTTTGCCTTAAGGTTGCTTTAGGTCAGAAATGACTTGAAGGCACACAAAAACAAATCCTAGTCAGGAGGAGAAGATTAGCTCCTCTAAAATCTGGACCAAATCACAGAGTGGATTAACCACCCCACTGACATGGAGGCCCTTACTTACCGCTAGTTGGCCTTAGTACACCACTCTGGGGAGACTTGCAGCTAAAGCCTGATGGGCTGTTTTGTTTCAAATGGGACTGACCCAGAACTTCATTCTCTGTTGGGTCATTCTTTGTTGGGGTGTGTGTGTGATCAGTCCCTATGTACATCATTCAGCCTGAAAGTAACTTGGTAGTGTTGGCTGAGTTGACATTACCTCTGCTTTCACATTCTAAACTGGTGGTTTGATTGATTGATAGATTGATTGAACATTTACATTAGTCCATTTATGATAGTTCAAGGACTCTATAGGCAAATGGGACAACTTTAAAAGAAGGTAACTCCTGGGACTAAATGTACATATCTAATGTACATTATGCAGACTGCCTTCAGCTATAGGGTGACTCATAAATTGAAATTTTAAGGGCAATGTACATAAAAACGCCTGGTTAGCATGGAATGTTATAGATCATAAGTCTGCATACACACAACTTGTCCTAAATTAACTGATGTTGAACAAATCTCTCCTCCCATCCTTCCTATTTCTTTCTCAGGGCTGGCTTTACTATTAAGCCAGGCATCAGAAAAAGGCAGCACATGATACCAATCTCATTTATTGCTGTGTAGGGATGAACGAATGCTGTCTAGTATTATTATTCATTCCATGGTGTGTATTTTTTTAAAAGGGGGCTTCCTGCCACTCAAGAAAAGATGTCAGGAAGAATCATAAAACAGCAAGACTCTTGTGCAGTTTTCTCTCCAAATTTGAACTTCCCAAATTTTTTCAGATTTTTTTTTAATGCAGAAAAATGCATCATTTTCTTGCTCAAAAATACCCACATTTTCTATACAAGAAATATGTTTCCAGAGCACGAAACAGTGTTTCCTTACAGGAAATGATGGTTGACATTTAGGATTGCTGTTACAGGTTTTTAACCACTCTATATTCAGTAAGGCTAGTCCTTATGCAAAATTATGTAAATGCCACTTCAGCCCACCTAAAGAGCCAGCAGCCAGATCAAGCAACAGAGGTCCATTCAGCTTCCAATTGGGGCACAAGGAGAAGGATGTTTTCCTACCAGCAAACAAGGCTGAAACAATCAGAAGCAATACCCTCATCCCTATTCCTTTTTGCAGCCTCACTCACCTTGGAAGCAAGGTGGAAACATCTTTCTCTTGTGCCCTGATCAGAAACTGAATCGACCTTCTTTGCCTGATCTGGCTGCTGGCTGTTAAGGTGGACTGGGAAGGGTAAGGCAGCATTGCATATTTATGCTGATAAAACTAAGTAGCCAATGTAGTTGGTCTCCAGACCTTTGACCAGCTTGGTCTCTTTTCCCTGGATACTTTCCAGCTTGTCCTGTAGTGTCGTTGTGTATTTCACTTTCAGATTTGCATTGTGTATTGCACACTACACATGAAGATGTGGATTGTGCATTGCAATTGTCCATTTCATGTTTGTTCACACGTGAGCAATGTTGCAGTTCATTAATATAGGAGTGGCATCTCATTCTGTGAATGCAAAGTTATGCACCATCTACTTGGTGGATGAACTCAGCTGCTACTTTTGTAGGGCTGATGGCCATGATGGCTGGGGATTCTGGGAGGCATCCTCCAAAAAATGTAATTTTCCAAGTATTGGCACACAGTCTTCTCTCTTATCTCTCTTGTTTGACTCTCTTCCTCCTACATTGGCCCATGCACAGTCCCACAACAATGCAATACACAGAATGTGGCTTTGATTAATTTAACATAGGCACATCATGCCCAATTCATTGAACAAATCCTCCATAGCACCTCTGAGATGGTAGTCTCTGTGAGAAATTGCTAAAAATGGTTGCCTTTTCCCCCTGCTATTTTTGCGCATATGCCTGCCCATTTAATGAGCTCAGATGCCTTCTCATGACCCAGCCAGCTGCCTCCTTCTCTGCCTCTCTGTTAATTACTATAACTCAGCACTGTGACTCAGTTTCACAGCCTGGAGACATGTATAAATAATTACAAGAAATAGGCATCACATTTAAAAAAGAGTGTTTTTTTAAAAAAATATGGGATTATTAACTGGAAGCTCACTGAGAACAAGAAAGGCATTCTCAAACTCTCCCCACAGTTGCTTGAGGTTTGGAAAGGGTTGTGGCCCATAGATTTGCTCATCATTTTATCCAGAAAGGGATTTTCCCTCCACTGAACCATGAACTTGGTCCTCTAGAGTCTGGAGCTGGAATCCTGTTGGTGATCCCTCCATCAACCTATGTGCATGGTCCTCTACAGTCTGGAGCTGGAATCTTGTTGGTGAGCCTTCCACCATCAACCTTTATGCATGGTCCTTTAAAGTCTGGGGCTGGAATCCTGTTGGTGATCATCCCTCCATGAACCTATGTGCATGGTCTTCTAGAGTCTGGGGCTGGAATCTTGTTGGTGGTCCTTCCACCATCAACCTATGTGCATGGTCCTTTAAAGTCTGGGGCTGGAATCCTATTGGTGATTCTCCCTTCATAAGCCATCTGCATAGTCATCTAGAGTCTGGAATCCTATTGATGATCCATGATGGTGTAAACCAGGGGTGGGCATAGTGCAACCCATGAACTATGTGCAGACTTTGGAACCCACTTTTATTGTCCTAGAAGCCTGCCATCAGTTCCTCATGATGTCCAGACAGTTCATACCAGAACCAAGGATTGGGCCCTGTGTCATCAGGACTACTCTCTATGTTAATGGAGGGAGGATGTTTTATTTGGCCCATGAAGACAGGGCCTGGGGTTTACTTTCAGTAGAAGAGGAGATATTTTTGGTTTTCTACCCAATGAATTTGCTCCTGCACATCTTATCTTCATCATGTGGCTCTCTCCATTGTACAAATAGAAACCTGTTACAGAAGAGACTAGAAGGAGATTTTCCAGTGAGCAGGGCTGATCTATTCTAGACTGACCTCCCCAAATCTTTCAGGGCTACTGAATTTTTGTTCTCCCTTCACACACACACACACACACACACACACACACACACACACCAACATTGTAAAATGTGTCTCCTAACTCAACATGAGGCTCTGCAATCCCCTGCAAAGCTAGCAACACCATCAAGTTTGCATGCGGCCTCCGGGATGCACACATGCAACGAGAAGTTCAAACCCAGGGAAAGTCAATATTTAATTTCTGCCAGCATGTGAAATATCATTGATTTGTGCTTAGGGGAAACAGAAGGGTGGGTAGGGGGGAATATTTTCTGTCAAAAAGCTGGGCCAGAGAGGCAGGAAGAGAGGGTGGGGGGC